TTTTTTTTTTTTTTTTTTTTTTTTTTGCTACTCCTACCCTGTGTGATTTTATGATAACCATAGTAATGATGCATCATGCTGAACTTCCCAGGCATAAGGATAAAGCTGATTGGTCAACAGAGTTTCTCAAAAGGCACCTGCTCTAAGTTACTCATAAGAATCGAAGGTTGTGAGACTGGGTGCTACAAGTCTACTGTAAAACTCGTGAACACCACAAGGAATAATTATGTGGAAAAGAGCTTAAAACTGAATGAACATTCTGGCATGGGGCCAAACCTAAATTTAATTAAATAGGTACTTAAGTTTCAATTTATCCTTCAGCCTGAGATAGGTTATTATTGGCTACTCAGCTACACTGACCCTCCCTAAGAAGCAGTCAGCTGCTTTTGCAATTGGTGTGTTCTTAGTTAAGATCTGTTTTGCATCTGTCCACAGTTTAATAGTGTTCCTTGTATTCTACAGGTGAGAGGCATTTGAAGTAACCTTTAACTGAGTACTTATTGAAGACAACATTCTCTGACTCTCCACTTTTGCCCAGCCTGTCTTCTTTAAATAAAATATACTTGTTCACAAGCTAGCTAATATTGAGATGAGGAACTTTGATAAGTGGTGTGGATGTGTTTGTCATAATCATGGTGGGTTTTGTTGAATTCCTTGTTGCAAGAAAATCATAAAAGAAATAACACTATCATGCTTAAAAGCATGCAATTTTAATATAAAACACTAATGAAATTTGTTTTTAAAAGGACTTGAGGGGGAAAGGAGTTAATATGACCCATGCAGTCAGGAGATTTTCTCTAAAATCCAATCAGAATGAGAGTCAGTGAATACTACGAGGCAAAAGCTGTGTCTTCAGATCTGTCACACCAGGTGTGTGCTCTGGCAATCAAACAAAACAGACATGAAGATGTCGCTCCTACCTGAAGATACATGTCTTCCTGAAGATGGTAGGGGGATTTTTGTGGATTTCTGTTAGACCCAGGGGCCCTGTGACCATCATATTGCGTAAAACATAGTCTGAACCCTTGAAAAGAGAAAGAGATTTCATTATGGGGAATAATTAGACCTCATATTCTCATTAAAACTTTTGGGGACAAATAGGAAAAAATTAGAAGTTTAGATGACTTCTAGTTTTAAGTACAGTGACATTTTACTTACTCAGTACCATTAAGGAATGAGCTGTCCACAAGAGAAAAATTTCAAAATATGAGATTCATTTAAACGCAAAAACGTATTTTTTAAAATAATTGTGATAAAATGCTATGTTTATGTTATTTTTCTGATGTTACAAGTGCACTGTAGAACATCTGGAAAACACAGAAAAGTTCCCTGCCCCCAAAATAAGTACAATAAAAAATATTCTCCAGGGAGACCTTGTCTTCACCACTTCACCAAAACTGCTCTTGTCAAGGTTACTAGTGACTCTCATTGTCAGTCAGATCCCCGATGCTCATCTTCCTCTGCCTTTGGCAGCCTTTGATGCAGTGAGCAACTCCCTTCTCGATACACTTTCTTTGCGTGGTTTTTGGGACACGGCTCTCTCCTGGTTCTCCTGCCTTGCTAAGCACTCCTCTCATTCTCCTTGCTTTCTCTTCCTTGTCTCCTTCCCCTCTAAGAGGTTTTCAGACTGTAGGTCATAACACACATGAGTTATAAGAATATTTTAATGTATTTTTAACAGCTCCATTGAGGTATACTTGACATACAAAAAATGTGCATCTTTAATGTCTACAGTTTGATGAGTTTGGACTCATGAGTCTTGGTCAACTTTTTTTTGGTGGAGACTGGTTCGTGATATTAACATACTCTGTAAAATACACTAAACTGTAGGAAAGACTAATTCAACCAGAAGTAAAGCGAGGTTTTTATGCCCTCTTTTAAAAAATTCTTTGATCCAAAGGGAAACTGTGATAACAGGATCCACATGAGCTACGTGTTGAGTGGTGCTTGGAAGGACAGCTGTTTCTCTCGCCTCTCTGCACTGTGTGACTTCAAGTGTTCCACCAAACTCTTTAGATGAGATGTTGTCAACAGAATACTTAGCAAACTGTCAAGATTATCCCACACTGGCAGCTGGGCTTCTAGCTTTTTTTTCTTTTTTTAAAATAATTTTAAAATATATATATTTTTATTGATTTCAGAGAGAGGAAAGGAGAGGAAGAGAGTTGAAACATCAATGATGAGAGAGTCACTGATCAGCTGCCTCCTGCACACCCCCGACTGGGGATCAATCCCGCAACCCAGGCGTGTGCCCTGACCGGGAATCAAACTGCGATCTCCTGGATCCTAGGTCGAGGCTCAACCTCTGGGCCACGTCAGCCGACTGGGTTTATTTTAAATCTCACTGATTTGTGTACAGTAATGTTAACCCTTTGTCAGATATGCAGTAATTTCTCCCCAGTTAGTCAAAAGCATTTTACATTTTCTATAACTTTGGTGCAAGAAAGTTTTACATTTTTATGTAGTCAACATATCAACCTCACCTTAATTGTTTTAACCTTTCATGTAGGTTCAGCTGTCCTTTCACCAGACCAAGATTGCAAAGTCCCTCCCATTCCTCATTTTTATAGCTATTCTCATGTGTTGATTCTTCCTCCAGATGAAGATTAAAATAATTTGGTCAGTTGAAAAGTAATTTAGGGATTTTTCTTGGAGTTTTGTTAAATTTATAAATAATTTTTGGAAGAAAGTGTATTTTTAAAAAATGGTCTTCTTGTGAAAAAAGTCATGATACGACCTTCTGCTTTATAAAACAATTTTATGTCCCTTGATAAAGTTTGTAGTTTGCTTCATGTAGGACTAAGGGTGATGGGGCAAAGTGGGGAGAATATTCCAGACAAAATGAGAGCATTTTGAAGTTCCTGAGGTAGAAAAAAAATTGCCTTCTATTACGTATGGTGGGATGTGAAACATTAACTGTGGTAAAGGCACCTTTCCTCCTGATAGTCTCTCCCCTCCTTCCCGCCTGCCCATTTAAGTGGAGCCTCTATTGCCTTAGAAGGGAAATGTTATGAGGTGAAAAGCAGAAAGCACTGGCTAATCTCTGGCTTTTGTTTTTTCAGAAGCCTACATTGGTATGACTTAAGATAGCAAATCATGTCCAAGTGTTAGCCACTTGTCTCTCAGAGACCCCAGGGAAAGAAAAGACTGAGGTCTTGGTTTCCTTGCTAGCTGTCAGCTGGGGACTACCCTTGGCTCTTAGAGACTGTGGGTCTTTGCATTTAGCCCCATATATCTCAGAATCAGCAACGGGGTGTCAAATTTTTCTCACACTGTCATCTCCCTGACTCTTCTCCCATCCCTTCATCTTTCAGGGACTGCAGCCAGAAAAGATTCTCTGCTTTTAAGAGACCACTGTTAACTGTCTACTTTTTGAGGCACAGAGCAAGCTAGAGAAGAGAGGAGAGTAGATCTGGAGGGGCTGCAAAAGAGGGAGGGGGAGGCTTAGAAAGTTACAATAGATGAGTGCTTAAAAAAGTATCCCTAGAGCTACCCTCAGCCATTTTTAACACCAAAACCTCACCATAGGTCTTCCACCAGGACAAACCCCAGGTTACATCCTTCGATAGCTGTACTGGTCTAGGCCTGGCTGTGACCCCACCCAGACCCTGCTGCTGAGTGGTCCCTCCCACCCCGCTTCAGGGATGGACTTTATAAGATTACCCTGGGTTAGATAGATAGTAGCCTTTGTGCCCTTGTCCGCAGCATTGTGATTCTGAAACTATACACCCTTGAAGCTGTGCTTCTCACTGACTGATACGGGCAATTTTAACCTTCACAGTGCCTTAGGTGTCATTTCCTTTAAGGCCCCAACAAGGTGCTTAAGTGTGGAGAGGCACTGGCCAAGTGGAATCCTCCCTGGACCCCACACACTACAGCCCCACTGTGACTGTGGCCTATCAGATTTGATCTGCCTCCACAATAAGTGATCCTCACCCCTCCCCTACACACATACACACATACATACTGGGTGATCCACCCTAGTTCCAAGGGCACTTGGGAACTCCCCACCCCACCCCACCCCAGAAGCAGCACTCACAACTAGCAAAAACTAGAGGGCCTTTAAAAAAAATGGTGTGATGTAATTGTGTCCTTCTAAAACAGCAGCGCCTTATCCCACTTCACCCATACGACTCTGGTGGGAACTGCCAGTTACTGTAAACTCCCCATCCTGGCCATAGGCATATCTCAGAATAGATAAAAATGAGTTTTCTTTCTTGGGTTTTCCAAATTGGAATAGAAAGGAAAGATTCTTTTTCAGCTACTAAGCATCTGGCTTGCCTTGTGGAGAAAGCCCATCTTTAGCTGGAATTACAAAGCCAAAGTTCAGAAGGAAGCAACTATGAGAACTAGAGAGAGAAAGAACATGAGACAGCCTGATGGCATCAAATCCCTGGATCTGGTCATCCTCGAAGCCAACTTGACACCTGTCCTTTCTTCATTTTGGTCACATGAGTCAATCAATTCCCCTTTTTGCCTAAGGCAGTCTGAGATAGATTCCTGCCACTCATAACCAAGGGTCTTGAGTTGGTGTCGTGGGAACTATATCCCCAGTCAGCCTAATAGCTAACTAAATATGGCTTTAAAAGATTGGCAAGACAATAACATCTAGAAACTCTGTTACCCTGGGAAGGTCTAACATTGCCCAGCCTTGCCTACCTGCTCTGGGCAAGGCTCAATGAAGTACGTAGTGATGGCAGTAATGCCTGGTATCATGTTGTAGAGCCAACTGATGCCAGTAATCACAACATGCAGGATGTGCTCCCTGCTGTGGACATAGTGATAGGCAGTGCTAAAGACCTTGGTAACACCCTGTAGAGACAGAAAATTTTTAATTGCCTTTTTAAAATAGCAAAATAATTAGTAATACATCAATTGGATTATCTTTTTCATTAATGATAATCTACTTCCTACAAATTATTCATCAGCTCTCGAAAGGCAGTGTTCTAAGCTTTTACTGTGGAAAAAAAAAAAATCATCAAGAGATCAAAGGTGTAAGAAGAAATCTACTGTAAGATCCACATAACTTATATTTTTCCTGATAATTATCCAGTGAAATCTGTGATATGTACAGTCAGTAAATAGTGTCAGAAGAACAAAATAAACTTTGAAATGAGAAAAAAATGCTTAAAAGCCAAGAATGAATGCCAGCCATGGGCAGATGGATAGGAGCTGCCCTAATCTGATGCAATATTAATGTCTCCACCTTTACATGGCTACTGTCATTAGATCAGCAGAACAGGATGTGGTGGGTTCCAAAGTCTGTAACGTGCTAGATTACATAGTCTTCTGGGCACAAAATGATCCTGTTCCATAGAGAAGCAATGGGAAGTCCTTAGAACTCATCTGTGGTCTTGTCAGGAAATTCTAGGAACCACAAATTCTTCAAAAATATGTGTTATTTTATATTAGGACCCAAAGCATCTAAGGGTAACACAAGAGCCTTTACCTCCAAGGACTAGAAAATCTGTAATTCATTTTCACACATTCTCCAACAAGGCTGTGTATAGTTCACCTACTGATAACTCTGTACTCCTCCATTTTGCTTCGAAATATCTTCATATCATTGTGTCAGATGAAACTGAATCTTATTATTAAAAATATGGCCAGACAAAAAGGTTCTACCACTTTCCAGTTATTCGTACAGTAAGTGGGATGAGAAATTTTAAAATAATGGTAAATATAAAGAGCCAGGGGCTTACAGGGAAACAAATTATAAGGGCACAAGTTCTGATTGCTGCTACATCCCAGTCCATTGCTTCTATCAAGGCTTTCAATCTTCCTCCATTGCAATTTCCATTCATAAAGTTGAATTTAAGTGCTTGTAGAAATGATCCAGTTATTTTACAGTCTTAAAAGTGCCTGAAACTTAAGCTTTTTCCTTCATTCTTTATCCTTAAAAATTATAACACTGATATCAAGAGCTATGGGAATGCATATCATATTTAGCACCATTTGTGGAAAGAGCAAAGGATTTCTAGGTACTGCTATTAATAAACATAAGTATCTTCTTTCTAAAAACCCATTCCAACTATGTGGGCCTTAGTGCTCTTATAGTTGGATTTTGATTCTACAGCATAAAGTTCTGTTTCTATGATTAATGCAATGAGACACATATTAATAATCTTCCCAGAGAGTGTGAGGCATAGATGTGCAACTGAGGCTGACAGTTCTTCCATGGGTAATGGGGAACCTCTCCAAAGACTGACCATACACACAGGGGACTGGAACCAATATGACAACACGATCTGCACACATAGCTCTACCTTCATCTAATTTCAGGTTGTGCTTTTTAAAAAGTATAGAAGGAGAAGCCATTCTACCATTGCTATGAAAGAATCCTTCTCTGACTTACCTGATAGAATCTGATCTCATGAGGCAAGAAGATGTTTATTTTCTGGGGATCTCTTAGGGTATCAACAGCCAAGACCCCAAAAATTCTCATACATGCATTCTGAAGAGGCAGAGCCAGGAATGACCCATTTTGATCACTCTTCTGACGGGAATGGTTCCAGAAGAAAATGTTCCCGTGGTGCTGAACTTGAGGGACATGTATTGGCATCCCTTTATCTACTACTGTAAAGCTGAGGAATAGGAATGTGAAGATGGGAGAAAGACACAGGAGGAGCTCTAGATTAAACCATGCAGGAAACCAGATCAATTCTCCATTCATAATAATTGGCATTACATGTCAGAGAAGTGGACTCATAAAATTACCAGTTGGAGAGTCTGACTTGAAAGACTTAAAAAACAAGCTTAGGTCATAACAGAGAAAACATATATAAACAGGATGCAAGAGACATACTTCAAAGAGCAGGCAGAAATAATTGAGCTGATATTGTGAAGCAGGATCCCTACATGGGAAATAATGTAGTTCTAAGGTGAACTCTGGAAACACTCAGGTGAAATCATCTGAGACTGGAAACCCATCACCTCCCACTATAGAAGCATTGTTGACCTGAGGCATTTCTTTCTTGGGCAGCTAACTAGGATTTCAATGCTAACTTACTTCAGAAAGGGAATTATTATTATTTAGAAGGGTGAAGCCAACCTTTTCAAGACATTCTTACCTGATTCCCTTCATGTCCCTGTAGAGCACGTTGTTCAGTACAAATGGAGCATCATCTAAAGTACAAGCTACATTCCTTAGTAGGACACGCCCTCTATCAGGCAGTAGTCGGTTTTCTTCTAAGAGGGAAATGTGAGCACTGATCTTCTTATTTCCATGGACTTGAGCATCCTATGGCAAAATATTTCTGATCATGTATTTACCAATAGCTATTTTCTTAATCACGTCTCCCTTCGTTAGCCAGTTGGTGCCTCTGACCCCAATCATTTCATTTTCATGAATAAATAATGAAGACTCTCATTAACTCTCATTGGCAGTGAGGAAAGAGGCTGACACCACAGCTGGCCCCCAAAACTGAGATTTAGTGAGTGAAATGGATTTGCTTTATGCCAACTAGACTGGTTTACTAAAAAACAAACAAACAAAAAACCCCTCAAAGTCTACTCAAATTTTAAAGCTTTAAAACGTGGATCCCTTTGGCCCTGGCCAGGTAGCTCAGTTGGTTAGAGTGTAGTCCTGATACACCAAGGTTGTGGGTTCAACCCCTGGTCAGGGCACAACCAACAAATAAATAAATGGAATAAAACCGGTGTTTTTCTCTCTTTCCCTTCCCTTCTCTCTCTCAAATCAATATATATATGTATATGTGTGTGTGTATATATGGATCCCTTTGAACTATAGTCATATTGTCTGGGTTTCAGTTAAAAGTAATCATTTTAGAGAGCTGGGGCAAGAAAATGGCTTCATTTCACTCATATTTCTTAACCTTAATCTACTATGATGTGAACATGGAAAAATGCTCTCAAGGAATTCTTAATATAGTTTGGCTATGACATTTGATTTATGTCATTTTAGGAAAGGATTTTGGGGTGCCCCAGATTGTAGACTTGATGCAACTACTACTTCTAATTGAAATAACTGAAATTTTTCTGTACCTAAAATATTATTATGCTACTAAGAATATTATGTGTTAACATATATATTAAAACATATCCACCATAAATTGGGGGACATGAGAGATACTTTCCTTGATATCTGTCTCCTCTTTCTATTTGGGTTTGCTTTCATGCTCCCCCCCACCACCTTTATTTCTCCTTTTCTACATAAAAAAAATCTATAGAGTAACAAAAATGTAGTGAGATTTCTGTTGGAATACTGCAGATTTCTGAAGCAAGTTGGAGTAATACCTCTTTTTCTTGATTGGTCTCCTGTTCCTAGTCACATCATTTCAAACTACATTGAAAACTTCAGCCATTCAGGAGATGATTCCAATAATCAAGTGTTGTTATTTAGCTGAGCTCAAACCACACATATTCTCTGGACCAATGGAAACTATGATATATGTAGAAGATGACCATGCTATTTCTGTCTGGAAGGAGCTGCAAGCTGGGAGTCTCTGAGAGGGTGGCAAAGCTGTGGACAGTGGCCCATGAGGGTCATGTGTTTTAAGTGACAGGATTCTGTAATAGTCTCAGCTTGTTTCTAGGCAGTGCCATGAAAAATTGTGTGATGTTGAATTCCACTTTATAATAACTTTATGATTTAAACCGTTCCTTTTTTACTTGACTCCTAAAACATCATGAAAGGGAGATGTAGTTTGACCTCCTTGCACATCTCCCTATATGTATTTTTTTTTATATCAGTCTATTTTCTGTTCTAGGTTTATTTGAGTCTCAGTGCAAATGAAATTAGAAATCCCAAGATATAATTCTGTCATTTATACTTTTCCTGTCTGCTTCTACCTTGCCAACCTGCACTCATTCCAGTTGCATCTTCCCTAGGTTTGGGGTCATTGTAATATATTAAAAAGAAAAAATACACACCACATTTATAACAGTACCAGCAAATTTTAAGACACTTTAGTGTGCTCCTCCTTTACAATCATTAAACATCACTTAATGTGAGATTTTTCTTCTTATGTATCATTTTAGAAAACATACCTGTGTGAGGGCCTTAAAGGTCTCAGTGTACACTGGCTCCAGGGATACCCCACTTGTCTCTGCAGCACGTTGTATTTGGTGCAGCCACTTCCGTCTGGCACTATTCCTCAGACCCTCAACATGGCTCCTTTCTAAAGTAGTCATCAGAAACTCCACAAGGCTTTCCAGAACGTGATCGTCATTGCCCCTGAGTTCAGATACAACCAATTCTATGTATTTCCGAAACTGTTCTGAAGACAACCTCACTTCATGACCAGAGTGTGGCTTTGGAAATTGAGCATGTAGTTTAGCTAAAAGACATAAACACAAAACCAAGGACTAATCAAAAGCTCATTTATCTGTGGGAGAAATTTTTATTCTCTTACAGCAAACGGAAGTCTCTGACAGCTGCCCCCCTTGAAAAACCAGGTATATCAAAGGCATCTAAGCCCAGTGGAACATCTTACGGTGACTTCTTATGCTAAACTCAAGATGACTCCTATGTCATCTTCTCTTTTTTGTTTTGTTTATTTAATTATACCAGTTAGGTGAAATTCCAGGGCCAACTTTGGTTCTCCCTACCTTTTACCGTCCATTTCTAATAGACCACTTAATTCTATCCTGCTCGTCTTTGACAGTGTATCTTGTGGACATTCCTCTCCATTCCTACTCCCTCCTATACTACTAAACCAGTATTAATAACTTTATGATTGGAGTACCAGTGGTAAGGCTCAATTAATATTTATAAAATTAAATTAAAACACAACTTGCATTATGCAATTTCCTGGCTCAAAGTATATTTGGGTCCAGGCCATTTTCTAATAATACTTGCCCATAACACCATATAGGAATTATTTACTTCAGTATTCCCATCCTACTCATGATCCCTGACTGTGCCTTGCACACTTCTGCACCCACATCTCTCTTTTATTTTTTTATAGTACAATCATGATCTACTACCAAACCTAAACATTACCAATAACTTACATTTTCCTCTGTGCCCCTGCTGTTGTTCCACTCCCTGCCTCCCCATGTCCTGCACCAATATCCTGAAATGTTTCTTTTGCTTTACCTTTTCCTTCCTTTTGTTTTCCCAACAGTGTTATTGTGTGGGTGTGGGTGTGTATGCACACACACTCGCACCTGGGTGTGTACTTCTAAGCAATATATGGTTTAGTTTTGTCTGTCTGTATACTTTAGAAAAAGTACATCATACTATATGTACTTCTCTGAGACTTGCTTTTTTATTCAACATTATGCTACTTTATACATCCATGTTGTTCCTGTGGCTGTGCTCATTCATTTTCACCACTGTATAGTATGTCATTCTGTAAGTAGACCATCATCAGTTTATTTATTCTCCTATAAATGGGCATGTAGGTTGTGTCTCCAATATTTTGCTCTTATGAACAGTGCTATAAGCATTTTTGTACATGTCTCCTGGTGCATATGTGTAAGTTTATTTGACATTTATTATAAATTAATAAGTCATAGAGTATGTACCTTTCCTCTTTAAAGTTCAAAATCTGTCTTTCCTCAACAAGATTTCTACCTGAAAGATAATAGCATTCATTTTATATCAATTATTTGTTTTAAAATGCCTCTTTTAGTCATCTTATTATATGATTTTTGCTGATTTTTGCTCTGTAGCGTCCACTCATCTTTCTTCTGGCAGTGTATCCCAAATTTTGCTTTGGGGAAACTACTTCACTCCCACCTCAGTTCATTTGTTTGTGTAGGATTCCACCTGTGGTTCTAGTGGTGGAGCATGCATCTCAGCTCTAAGCCAGTCAGGACATTCTACTCCCCTAGCCAGAGTAGTTGATTTAGTCCAGACTAATGCCAGACTCTTTACTTGAATTATTAGGAAGGGGGCATTTTCCTTCTTATTCTCACTAGACTTGAATAAACATGTTAGGACGTGAGATTGAACTTGGTCACACGAGGGGAAAGAGTGTATGAAAGTGGAGTCAGCACACAAGAGAACAGGGCCAGACTGAAAGAGAGAGAAAGAGAAAGAAGCAGATACCTGTCCAAAAATCATTATTTGAACCCCCAAATCTAATTGTGTCCTGAACTAGCCCAGGAGTTTTCCATCACACGAACCACTAGAGTCCTTTTTTGGTTAACCACTTTGTTAAGATAAAAAACTTTTAGCATATATCAAACTCTAATTAATGATATGCATGCTGAAGTATTTAGGGATGAGTGTATGAATGTCTGTAATTTAATGTGAAATGCATCAAAAATAAGAGAACTAGAAGGAAGGACAGAGGGGTGGAGAGATGAATAGATATTTAATAAAAAAGTGTTAGTAAAATGTTAATGATAGAAATCTAGGTCGTAGATATATACACTACACTTGATCTTAGCCAAAAGGCCGAGAAGCGATAGGTCGTAGATATATAGATACTCACTGTGAAATTCTTCCAGCTTTGCTGTATGTTTTAAATTTTTCATAATAAAATATTAGAGGGGAGGGGAGGACACAGGAAACAGATTGAAAGGAGTCCCATGGGTAAAATCTAAAACAACATGAGCGTTATAATGATAGTGTTGAATTATAACCCACTGTATAAAATAGGAAACCATGAATACATACTGTTATGAATGAATAAACAAAAAGTTTGACAGGAGCCCAGCTGGTGTGGCTTAGTGGTTGAGTGCTGACCTATGATCTAGGAGATCAAGGTTCGATTCCCCGTCAGGGCACATGCTCGGGTTGCGAGCTCAATCCCCAGTGGGGGCATGCAGAAGGCAGCCGATCAATGACTCTCTCATCATTGATGTTTCTATCTCTCTCTCTCCCTCTCCCTTCCTCTCTCTGAAATCAATAAAGACATATTTTTTTTAAAAAAAAAGTTTGACAAGAAATGGAATGTTTACATGGTTTCAAAATACCCACAAAATACTTATTAATTACAAAGGGAAAGAAGAGTAACTTTGAAATAGAGGGGCCTGACAGATATCATTTTATCAGGAGATTTCTAACAGCATTCATTGAGAAGAACACAGCATCACTTATATGACATTCCTGCCAAAAACGAACAACCTGAATGTAATCATGAGGAAACATTAGGCAAACTTAAAAGAAGGAAGAATTACAAACAATCTGCCTGTAATCTTCAAAAATGGCAAGGTATGGAAATCAAGGAAAGACTGAGGCATTTCTTAGAGAGATTCCTTGTTCCAGAGTGAAAAAACATCAGTAGTTTTACACTGACCACTTGTCCAGTTTGCAGTTTCTTTAAGGAACACTTTGAGTATTTCAATGAGACTTTATAAATAAATGTGAGAATTTGGTTACAGAATGATTCACCAAAATGTTATAATTTTAAGAGAATATGTCCTACTTAAATAGAAATTTATATATTAAAGCAATTCTTATCACTTAATAGGAAACTAAAAGACATAGCCAATAAACATGAATAGCTATTCCATGAGAAGTAATGGGGGAAGAGCGATTTTTTCTCTTAAATTCTACAATGTAGACAGGTCACATCTTCTACAGCTTTTTATATGTGATATTCTGCTCAAAAGATTAGGCTATATTAAACTTGATTAAAAAGGGGAAATTACAGGCTAAAAGTTTCAAGTTGCCCCTTCCATATAGAAAACTTCCATTTCAAGGACACCAGCAGAAACATTTCTAGGAATTTCTAATTCTGCGACTTAATCCTATTTAAATTCCAATTTTTAATTTTGGTCACAGAAATGGATAAGAAGGGTAGAGCAAAAATAACAAACAAACAAAAAAGAGCTTTTTAAAGATTTGCCAATTTGTTATTAGCTAATGTTCGAATTTAAAATTTTCTACCTTTTTAAACAGAATCTGCCTTTTATCTTTCATATGGCCATCAGTTCAACAATCATCTCCACAGGCCAGGTGGCTACCAATATGTGTTCAGAGAGAGTTGTTTTGTATGAGTCTACCCTTGGAGAGAATAATTTGTTCTTCCTGCTTGCAGACATTTTCTTCTGGCAGCAGATTCTTCTGGCAGCCTCCTCATTACTTTCCTCATTTTTATTTGCTTGGCTTAACCCATTACATTTTATGCTTTCTACCTATCCCTCCTGCTGTACTTTTATCATCCTTATAACATTATTTGAACATCCTTATAACATTATTTTCAGGTTCCTTAAATTCTAGAATCCATAGTGTCTTACTCCTTCATTTTACAAATGAGGACACCTGGATCTACAGAGATTCAATCATTTGCCCTTGCTCATGTGGCCTTTTAGTGAAAGATCCAGTATTGGCTTGGAGAGTCAATCCCTCCCAGAGACACCAACAGTAATTAAGGCTCAACTACAACAGGACAGTGCACACAGCCCACACAGGGGGGCACCTACAGTGCCCAGCTCAGGTGACTGGGGAGGCTGAGTCACTGGGCTCTATAGAACTCCTACTACCCAAGGCCACTCTTCCAATTCCAGGAGACATAGCAGCTCTACCTAATTTGTAGAAAAAAAACACAGGGAAGCAGCCAAAATGCGGAGACAAAGAAATGTCACAAATGAAAGAACAGAAGAAATCTCCAGAAAAAGAACTAAATGAAATGGAAGCAAGCAAACTATCAGATACAGAGTTCAAAACAATGGTTATAGGGTTGTGCGATCACATCGATCTAAGATGGCGACTGTGGAACTGGAAACCACCCCTACTCCTAATCCCCCACCTACAGTAGAAGAAGAGAAAACAGAATCTAACCAGGAGGTTGCTAACCCAGAACACTATATTAAACATCCTTTGCAGAACAGATGGGCACTCTGGTTTTTTAAAAATGATAAAAGCAAAACCTGGCAAGCAAACCTTCGGCTGATCTCTGAGTTTGATACTGTTGAAGACTTTTGGGCTCTGTACAACCACATCCAGCTGTTTAGTAATTTAATGCCTGGCTGTGACTACTCACTCTTTAAGGATGGTATTAAGCCTATGTGGGAAGATGAGAAAAACAAACGAGGAGGACGATGGCTAATTACATTGAACAAACAGCAGAGACAAAGTGACCTCAATTGCTTTTGGCTAGAGACACTGCTGTGCCTTATTGGAGAATCTTTTGATGACTACAGTGATGATGTATATGGAGCTGTTGTTAATGTTAGAGCTAAAGGTGATAAGATAGCAATATGGACTACTGAATGTGAAAACAGAGAATCTGTTACACATATAGGGAGGGTATACAAGGAAAGGTTAGAACTTCCTCCAAAGATAGTGATTGGTTATCAGTCCCATGCAGACACAGCTACTAAGAGCGGCTCCACCACTAAAAATAGGTTTGTTGTTTAAGAAGACACCTTCTGAGTATTTTCATAGGAGACTGCGTCAAGCAATCGAGATTTGGGAGCTGAACCAAAGCCTCTTCAAAAGCAGAGTGGACTGCACTTAAATTTGATTTCCATCTAAATGTTGCAAAGATATAAGAGAAGTCTCATTCGCCTTTGTCTTGTACTTCCATGTTCATCCTTTTTTTTCTTTCCTTTTTCCCCTAGAGTGTCCACTTACCCAATCAAAGAATGACAGTACACATCATCCCCAGGATCCATAAATGTGTTTCTGGCCCATTCTGTAATAGCTAGAAGAATTACTATTACAAACACATTTTACCCATCCACAATATTTTTTAAAAACTTGCATCTCTATACCCTACAGGAAAAGAATTCTGTTTATGTTCCATTGTATGCAGGAGCATATTTTGCTGGTTTAAAAGAGTATGATGCATACAGTTTTCTAGCAATTTTCTTTGTTTCTTTTTACAGCATTGTCTTTGCTGTACTCTTGCTGGTGGCTGCTAGATTTTAATTTATTTGTTTCCCTATTTGATGACATTAGTGATTCTGATTTCACTTTTTCATTTGTTTTGCTTTTGCTTTTGCTTTTTTTCCTCATGTAATATTGGTGAAGGATCCACGAATATGACACAAAGGTGGAATAAACATTAATTTGGGGCATTCTTTGGTAATTTTTTGTTTTTCTGTAACTACAAAGCTTTGTAACAAATTTATGCATTTCATTCAAATCAGTGATCTATGTTTGTGTGATTTCCTAAACATAATTGTGGATTATAAAAAATGTAACATCATAATTACATTCCTAATTAGAATTAGTATGTCTGTTTTTGTATCTTTATGCTGTATTTTAACACTTTGTATTACTTAGGTTATTTTCTTTCATTAAAAAATGGCTCAAGTAGAAAAGCAGTCCCATTCATATTAAGACAGTGTACAAAACTGTAAATAAAATGTGTACGGTGAATTGTCTTTAAAAAAACAACAACAATGGCTATAGGGATGCTCAAGGAACTTAATGAGAATTTCAAGAAACTTGGTGAGAACATCAAAGACATAAAAAAGGACCAATCAGAAATGAATGATACACTAACTGAAATGAAGAATAATTTACAGGGAATCAACAGTAGAGTAGAGGGTGCCAAGAACCAAATCAACAATTTGGAATATGAAGAAGCAATAAACAATCAGAACAGTAAAAATTAAAAAAACACACCAAGAATCCAAAAATATGAAGAGAGTGTAAGGAACCTCTGGGACAACCTCAAGCATACCAATATTCTCATCATGGTGCTCCTGGAAGGAGAAGAGAGGGAGCAAGAAATTGAAACCCTATTTGAAAAAATAATGACAGAATGCTTCCTTTACCTGGTGAAAGAAATAGACATACAAGTCCAAGAAGCACAGAGAGTCCCAAACAAGATGAACAGAAAGAGGCCCAAACCAAGACATATCATAATTAAAATGCCAAAGGTTAAAGACAAGGAGAGAATCTTAAAAGCAGCAAGAGAAAAGCAATTAGTTACCTACAAGGGAGCACCCTTATGACTGTCAGCTGATTTCTCAACAGAAACTTTTCAGGCCAGAAGGGAGTGGCAAGAAATATTCCAAGTGATGAAAAGAAGGACCTACAACCAAGATTACTCTACCCAGCAAAGCTATCATTTAGAATTGAAGGTCAAATAAAGAGCTTCACAGATAAGAAAAAGCTAAAGGAGCTCATCACCATCAAACCAGTATTACATGAAATGTTCAAGGGTCTTTTTTAAGAAAAAGAAGAAAAATATAAAAAATATAAACAATAAGATGGCAATAAATACATATCTATCCACAATTGAATCTAAAAATAGATGAATAAGGAGTCTAATGAACAAAACAAAGTGATGAATAAAGTAGAACCAGAAGCATGGAAACATGGAACAGACGGACAAATCTCAGAGGGAGGAGGGGAGGGGCGGGGGAGGAAGAGAATAACCAAATAACTTACATGCATACATTCATTACCCATGGACATAGACAACAGGGTGGCAAAGGCCTGGGGTGGGGCGGGATTGGGGTGGAGGGGGGCAATAGAGGGAGAAAGGGGGGACATCTGTAATACTCTCAACAATAAAGATTAAAAAAAAAAAAAGAGGTGTTGGTGAAGATGTGGAGAAAAGGGAAACCTGTGCTGTTGATAGGAATGTAAACTGGTATAGTCACTATGGAAAACAGTATGGAGGTTCCTCAAAAAAATTAAAAATAAAAGTACCATATGATCCAGCAATTCCACTTCCAGGTATATTTCCAAAGGAAACAAAATCACTATCTTGAAGAAATATCTGTACCCCCATGTTCACTACATAGTTATTCACAATAGTCAAGACATGGAAACAACCTAAGTGTCCACTGACAGATGAATGGATAAAGAAAATGTGGTGTATACAATGAAACACTATTCAGTCATGAGAAAGGAGGAAATTCGACTATTTGCAACAACATGGATGAACCTTGAAGGCATTATGTAAAGTGAAATAAGTCAGACAGACAAAGACAAATACTGTATGGTCTCACTTATATATGGAATCTAAAAAAGGCAAACTGAGTGTTTAATGGTGGTTGCCAGGAGCTGGGGGTAGGGGAAATGGAGAGATGTTGGTCAAAGGGCAGAAACTTTCACTATAAGATGAATAAATTCTGGGGATCTAATGTGCAGCATTGTGACTATAGTTAACAATACTAATACTGTATTACACACTTGAAAGTTGTTAAGAGTAGATCTTAAATGTTCTCACCATGAAAAAGATATGGTAATTAAGTGAGGCGATGGAGGTGTTAACTAATACTACCATGGGAATAACTTCACAATATGTAAGTGTATCAAATCAACATGTTGTACATCTTAAATTTATACAGTATTATATGTCAATTATATCTCAATAAAGCTGAACAATTCATAGCCATACTAGCAGGTGTGAAGGTGGTATCTCATGGTTTTAGAACAATTAGTGTTTAACTGTATATATGTCATAGTACCAGGAAACTTGAAGCCAAGTTGTTACCACAATTTAAATAAGAAAATTATTATACTTTTACCTGACTCTACAGCTTCTTTTTCCATTCCCTCCTTGTATGTATACAAGAGTTCATCAACTTCTTTCAGATCTAGAAAGCCTGAGCCATCACTGTCCCACATCTGAAAGAGGGCTTCTAGGAGAAGTCCCCATCGAACTCGGGAAACATTTTGTCTAGCCTAGGATACAAACAAGATAACAAAGCACAGAAGACATGCTGTTTATTGCACAAGCTGGCATCCTATCTTTATTCCCCCAAAAGTGCAATACTTTTTATAAAAACATTTATTTTGGGACTAAGCATGATATTAATGGGAAAATGAAGCATTTAATTTTAATCCTCTAAATACTTCTCTGTTTCACCTCTAGACCAAAACACACACACACACACACACACACAACCAAAAACATGCATTCTCTGCATTGGGTTAAAACATTAATTTAGGAAGAGAACTACATCCCTTAAGAATCTTTAATTGCCCGGCTGGAGTGGCTCAGAAAGGTTGAGCATTGACCTATGATCCAGGAGATCAAGGTTCGATCCCCAGTTGGGGGCATGCAGGAGGCAGCTGATCAGTGACTCATCATTGATGTTTCTGTCTCACCTTCTCCCTTCCTCTCTCTGAAATCAATAAAGACATATTTTTTAAAAAAAATCTTTATTCCTTTCCACTCCCTTGCTGCTTGTTCAGGAATGTGATAAACACATGGGGTGCTCTGCCTCGCTTCTTGGTGGGATTTGTTTTGTAGTGAAGGGGGATGAATGGCAGTGCTCAAACATTAAAAAATGACTGTGTTCAAAAATTCTTTTTTATATTTAACATTGACCTAACTTGACATACATTACCTTTTAGATTTTTTACTAGATTAATTATATCAATTAGACAGTAATTTAATTACTATCTAGATAGATTTAATTGCTAAAAGAAAGTGAATAGGGGAACTGCATTTGAGGAGGCAAAAGGGATATCAACTCTAGAATTAAGCTGAGAAAACTCATAAGGCTGATGAGATCACTGAATATGCCTAGTGAATCTAATTTACACATTTCATATAAGAGCACATAAATTGTTTATATCAGCTAATGTGTGTGGATTTACCTACACCTGAGTAAGTAACATGTAGTACCTAGTGCAGTGCACATGAATAAAAACATATATTCAAGCCATGACCAAACCCTAGGTATGTGCATCTGTAAATGCACTCATTGCAGACAGACAATGCGCACACACACAGACACACGCACACACATATTTTTGTTCATATATATGCTCCTTAGAATTTGCTTTTCAAGCTTCATTGAAGGAAAAATAAAGCTGTACAATAAACCATCTCCTGCCAGCAGCAATCATATTGTTAGGGGAATGAGTTCTCTGGAGTGTGTGATCTTAGAACATTTGACAATAAAATAATAAAATAAAATAAAAATTTACTGGCCATGCACATTGAAATAGTGATAAGTTTGGTTTTGCATTTTTAAAGAAGAGCCACAGTAAGAACTACTGAGGTTGACAGATTTACTTACAATAGTGACCTCACTTGTTCCATTAATAAACAATATTACCTCTTCTAAGGCACTCATTTTCTCTTCTTCTGTTTCAACATAGCCACACTTAAAAAAGGAGGCAAGGGTCTCACTGGCGCTCAGAGGGGTATCTTCACCAACAAATGTCTCCAGGAGTTGCACAAACTGGAGCAGATTGAAGGAAACTCTATTGAAGGCACTCCTTCCTTTCACTTCTTTGTAAGACTGATTATTTCTGATAATTGAATGTAGGTCTATCAAGCAGGAAACATACACCAAACAGTAAAATGAACAATTTTCTCAAAGATTAAAAAAAAAAAGAGTATTTGTTGTAATGGACATCTGCTAATATTTTTCTGTCAGAAATCCATGCTCCCTTCATGAGGATAGCACCATTCCTTTTTTATTTGACAAAACATCTCCTCATTATCAGTTTAGATAAGCCAGGTGGTCCTCCCCCATCCTTGCCCCCAGGATTGTCATGTGATATAGGTCTGGCCAATAAAATAATAAATATATATATATATATATATATA